GGACATAATTGGATTTTACTCTGCAGAACCCAGGGCTGAGCTGCTCCTTTCTGGGCTCCCCCTATCCCTAACCGGGTGCTAAGCTCTGTGGGGTCTGTCAAGGGTCAGGGTGATGTCTGCTGCTGCACCAGCAGCTGGCCCTTTAAAGAGGGAAGAAAACAATTATTGGGCCTGGGCATTGCATCAGCTGGAGCCTGGAGGGTCCCTGGGGAGCAGGGGAGAGGTGGGAGGGGAGGGGGCAGGCTGGTGGTTGATTTCATTAGTGCCATGTGAGAACTCTCACCCCTGTCTGCTCCACTCCCCAGCCGCAGCCTTCCCTGCTTCCCCCCAGCCCCAGGCAACAGTAGCAACCCCAGCTATACTGCCTTCCCCCACCCCAGGAGCACCACCTCGGAGGACTCTATCTGTGTACCCCAAGCCTATGTTGTGGGCCCAGGCAGAGGGGGATATAGGGAGGTGTCTCTCACACTGGCCTTTTGCTGACTGGGGGTGTAGGATGTGCTTCCTGTACCTGCACTTTGCTGACAATGGGGGTGTCTTCCCCCATTAGTGTTTGGCTGACCTGGGGTGGGTATTTCTCCCACAATGGCATTTTGTTGACCCAGGGGAGGAGTGATTTCTACACTGGCCTCTACACTGGTGTTTTGCTGACCCAACAGAGGAGCTGTGCTGCCTGGGGTGTGTGTGTGAACTGAGGGGCATGGGTGAGGAACAATCGCTCTGTGGTTGGAGGTGAGCTGGATGGGAATAGTAAGTCACAGGGGCAGAAAGGACACCAGATACTTAGACAGTCCTGGGTTCAAATGTGGCATCCTCCACTCCCAGGCTGTTACCATTCCAGGCAAGTGGTCTCAAGCACTTGGTGAGCAACCTGGGAGATAGGAATAATTTACACCCAGACTGCCCCACCCCCATATGGAAGGTTCTTGAGGGATTAAATGTACTAACTAGAGGCACAGCACCCAGCCCCGAGCTGGCAGGTGGGGGCTGCATACTGTATGATGATTCTCTTCCCTTTGCAAGTTTGGGCTCCTCACACTTCGGGCTCAAGATGCCTGGACAAGAAAAGGACAGTTGGGGAGAAGTGGAGAGCAGGGGAGAGAGTGCAGAGCCCCCCCTCCCCCCGCCTTTGTTGCAGAGGGTTACATTCAGATACCTGATGTACCAAGTCCTATGAGCCAGGCAGGCCCTGCCTCCGGGTGCCTGCATTCTAGCCAGGAAACAGCCCAGAGCAGGTGATGTGTGCTGAAAGGGGGGGGGGGGTGGTTCAGGAATCCTAGGGTGACAAGGAGTTGAGGAGACAAAGAAGTGATGAGGAAAGGGAATGTTGTGAGCTACAGCCTTCGTGTGGTGGGGAGGGGGATGACAACAGTGGAGAGAGTAGAGAGGAGGAAGGTGTCAACACAGCCAGGCCAGAACTCCCTGGTCTAGCAGGATATAAAGACTTGGGAACAGCCCTGAGGCCAAGGGCGGTCTCTGAACAGTTTTAAGCAGAGGAGACCGGGTCTGATTTCCAGAGAGTGTGGGCGGGGGTCTATGGCCCTCAGGCACAACCTTCTCAGGAGTGACCTTTTGCCTTGTCCTACCCCTTTCCCTGTGCAGCAGCCCTGGTGCCCAGGGAGCTGGTTGTTTATGTGGCTCATCCCAGGAGGGAGGGAACCAGTCCCAGTCCCTCCAGTTCCCTCCCTCGGGGTCTTGTTGACGAAGTTCATCCCTCGGGGTCAGGTTCTCCTGACCTCCCTGTGGAGCCAGAGGGCACCGGGCAGGGCTTTGGAGCCAACTACCCTATGTTCACATTCCAGCTGGAAGGCACACCCCGTCTCTGAACTCCAATGTCCTCGACTCTAAAAGGGGATTGATGTTATCTCTCTATGGGAAGGATACAATGAAATTCCAGATGGAAATCACGAAACCATTTCAGTTGTCAGCTGGCATTTTTACTCTATTGCATGAAGGTTGACACCTACTTGGGCCAGGCCCAGGCCCGGGGCTGGCTGGGTGCAAGGACAGGGCTGGTTTCATGAGTCTCTGGTTGCACAGGAAGGATCCCACTTAGAAGGATCCCACACTTGCCTTAATATTCTGCTGTCTTAATAATTCTTAATAATTTTGAAATTCTTAATAATTTTGAACAAGGAGTCCCGCATTTTGGTTTAGCACTGGGCCCTGCATTATACAGCCCCACAAGTTGGGTAGGAAGAGGCAGGGAAGGACACCGGCCTGCAAATAGTTCCGAAGTGGAGGAGGCATAAGGTGGAGGACATGACTAACTGTCCCAAAGTGGGTGTGATGTTAATAATAGTAACATTTATTTAGTGCTTACTGTGTGCTAGGTTCTCTGCTAAGCACGTTACATGCTCATCTTCACACAGCCCGATGAGGCAGGTACTACTGTTATTTCTGTTGTGTAGATGAGGACAGTGAGGTTACATTTCCTGGCCAAAGTCACACAGCTATCCAGAGGCAGAGCTGGGATTCAAACCCAGGTTGTTGGACCGCAGAGCGCATGCCTAGATCAGGGAAGTCGTCAACTAGGAAGAGGGGCCCCCTGGGCTAGGTCTGAAGGATAACTTGGACTTCGCCAAGGAGGAAGATGCGGTGGGGAAGGGAGGGCTGTCTCAGCTGGGAAGTGCCTGTGCCGAGGCGTCATGCTTGGCCAGGAAAGGTGGGACCAAAGCCAGATACCTCCCAGGCCTGAGCGAAGTACCCTTTGGATTTCATGGTTCTGATTTTCTAAGCCCAGAACTCCCGGTCACTCTGCCCCTGGGCCCTGCTGCTACCATGATTTCTCAGAGCTACCCAGGCCCCTTTTCTTACTCTATTGCACACTCTACCCCACCACCAGGGTAATCTCATTTACTCTACTGGCTTTATCTCTTCTGGGCTCAAGACCTGCAGTTATAACTGCTTCCTGGGCCACATTTAGATGTGACACAATCAACCTTAGCTCCCAACCTAGGTCCACAGCTCCATCTGCAGGCACCTGCTCTGCCTCCAGTGTCCCCAGCTCTTCTCTGCCACCACCTCCCACCCACTTGCTCAAGCTGGAAAGCTGGAAGTTCTCCTGGACACCTCACCCCCACATCCCACAGCCAATCCTCAGCAAGTCCTATTGGTTCTGAATATCTTACGAATCTGTCATCCCTCTCCCTGCCCCACCCCCTCCTTCCAGACCGCCATTAACCCTCACCCGGACCACTGTGACAGCCTCCTAAGCTGCTCACCTGATGTTTCTGTTCTTGCCTCGCTTCATTTCACTTTTCACACTGTGATCTTCTAAACATAAATGTTTATATCATTTCCCTGCTTAAGACCCTTCCAAT